AATTACAATTAATGTCTAATATCTTTATGTGATCCTAATTAATCTAATATATAATTTTATTTAATTAAAGATGCTGTGGCATCTCTCATTAATTAAAATTATATGGATCACTAGACATTAAATCTCATAAAGACTAGCTTAATATTACGAATTACATAATCAAATACTAATATGTTATATTATGACAAAATTTTCATAAGCATAAAAAATATTGCATAATGAAAAATATAATATATGCATAACATTTAATATTATGCATTATCCATATATACTCATTCAAAAATTGCAATAGAAAGAATAATGAATTCATGAAAGATAAATATGAGCATAATAATTTAGGATTCGGCACAATTTAACTTATCCAAAAATGCATATAATTAAACCAAAATTAATATAAAGGCAAATTAAAAAGAGCAGAATGAAACAATATAAATATGATTTTACTAATTACATGACAAAAACGTAAAGTGGCCTGTTTGGCCCAGTAGCAGATCTCTTTCCATCAGATCACGGGTTCAATTCACGCCAGATCTTAAATTTTTTTTTTTTTTAATTGACAAGAAAACGACATGTCGTTTTCAAAACTGAAGGAAAAACGACATGTCATCTATAGTCGTCTTCAACCTTTGATCGGATCTAAACTGGATACCCGACCGCAAAACAACCCAATAGCCAAACCCGGATGGAAATCACTATTTAAACTCCAAAATAATTGTTTCAAAGCCCAGAAATGATAGAAATCCAATTTCCTAATGATTATAACATTTTTTTCATTAAAAAAACAACTAAAAGACAAACTTTGATTTAAAAAAAAAATTTCAAACGGCCATGAACAGAGAGCTTCAAAAAATTCTTGCAAAACATCAAGGCAGAGGTATTATATGGCTCTGATACAACTGTAAGATATTTATCTGTAATCTAGACGGAAATCAAAGAATATAATATTCTTAACATAAACCAGGAATCAAGAATTACCTCCAGCCATTGAAACAAACTCACGAGTAGTATTTTGGATCTTCTAAGCTCTCAAGACACTCTATTGATGGTGTATTTTCTGTATATTGTGTTCTTGAGCTTAGGGACCAAAATAATATATTCATAACCAAGCTTCCATCAAGCTTTTATGGTTGCTTAATGGCTGCCCTAAATCCAAACGTTTGAAAACTGAAGCGTTGAAAACTGAACAAAGAACGTGGACCATCAACTTTAAACTGATGAAAATCACGTTATTTACGTTACTCATGTAACGTAAGTTTTACAATTTTCACGGCCTCAATTATACAGTAAACTCTCTATAGTTATAATATTAGAATCAATAGCGAATCTAGAATTTTTATCCAGGGGGTCTCCACAGCTATGCATTATTTACCGATAACTAGTGAAAACTTTCAAAAATCACCAAACCTTAATTAAAAAAAAATAAATACAATATTAAGAACCCGAGAAAAAATAATATACAATAACACAATATTTTCTTATTTGAATAAATCTTGAGAAGCAAAATTTTGAGTAAAAGTGTTGAGTAAACCTTGAACAAAACCTTCTTTTAATATTTTTTTTTTCCTTTAAAAGATTATGTATAAATTTTATAGCATTGATCAAACCTAGCCAATTAAGCTAAAGTCAACCAAAACTTAAACAAGTCAACGTTGCATTGACTTTTAATATGAATTAATAAAAGAGGGAAAATATTTTTAGATAAATATAGATGTAACTCAAATTTCTTTATAAATTTTGAACAATTGAACGGTGACGTTTAAAATGTAGGAAAGTGGTGGGTGAAGGGTGAAGAATAACATGCTTAAATATAGTTAAGTTTTATTTGAGAAAACAGATTCATTCTTAGACAGAAAATACAAAATAAACTCACAAGAATAATATCATTTTCTCTCAAATTAGATAAAAAAACCTCAAAAAGAAAAAAAAATGATTCAATCTTAAATAAACTAAATGAAATGAACATACACATACCTAAAATCGATAATATAAAAACGGAGCAAATATGACACCTTGAGTAGTGAAAATTTAACAATTTTAGTCTTCAAAATTTAAGAGCGAAACATGAGAAAGAGAAAGAAAGAGTAAAGAATTTGAGGATAAAATCATAAAAAAAAAAAAAAAAGTTAAAGCCAGCAGAAAAACACTGGAGAGAGTTTCAAACATTTATATAATGTGGGTTTGGAATATATATATTTTAATAACAAGTTTTTTTGTAAACCTAGATATACAGTATGTATAATAGTTCTTATTTTTAAAAATGGTATGTAATAGTTCTTCTTTTTTTAAAATTGAAGGGGGTCGGGTATATATGTTAATTAACAATTTTTTATGGCCTGTATATTATAAAATTTTTTTCAAATTTGGGCTGAATCCGCCCCTGGTTGGGACTAACTAATTTTATTACTATAAAGAGTCATACTTAATGGAGGTATAATTACAAAAATTATAGTTTTGATTTCTTATTATAATTATGTTTTAGCAGTAAAATATTAGGATTTCAATTCATATTTTAGTAATATAGAATTTCAATACAGCGTTTCAATTGCCTACTTTGAAACAGATAAAAGATGTTTCTTAGAATCAGCAAAAATAAGTGTCATTGATGAAACTGTAAATCAGTTGATCTGGTCAATTGGTGTGAAGTCACAGACAATTGTCAAGGTTTAAGCGCTGCAAAATAAGGATCACTTATGTCAATGAATTGTAAGTTACAAATAAAGTGGACAAGGAGAATTAAAGAGTCTATAGAATTAAGTGATCAGATTTGAAAAATTCACTACATTAATCGAATGGATATTAATGTCTTCTTCGATTATTCAAATGAGTAACAAATTGTGTATACTTTAACCAAATGAGAAATCATTGTTGCAATAGACAAGAAGAGAAGAAAATAATCCTAAGGATAATAGTACGAAAATACAAAAAGTCATGTGCCATGAAGCTCTAAACATGCTTGAGAAATAAAAATATTTTGTTTCAACAAGAAGGTATCCATGCTAACGAGCTATTACGTACTTGTAAGGTAAAGATATGATAACAACTCTAAAACATAAATAATTGTCCAAACAATTTTAATAAATATTTTATTTTATTTTAAACCTTTAATTTTATATAACATATTTTTTTTATAATATACAGATAATTATTACTATGTAGAGACAATTTTCCTTAAGGTGGGATATGAAAAATTATAATATGAAAAAATATAACTTATTACAATGTAGAGTTTATTCTATTATAAATATAAAATGGAACTAAAATTTTTTATGACTATGTAGAATTATTATCACTATAGAGAGGTTTTACTTTATATAGAATCATGTGATCATTTTTCTATATTCATATTATATATAACAACAGTAGTAGACTGGTAAATAAAATTAATCCAAAACTATAACATGGAACTATAGAATTCTAAAATACAAATCATAAAATGGAACATGTCATATTAGGTAGGGCTGGAAAAAAAAAAAAACAAAAACCGAACCGAACCGAAAAACCGGACCGAAACCGAACCGAAAAACCGATTTTTCAAATCAATCGGTTCGGTTTCGGTTTTCAAAAATAATTAAACCGAATTTTCGGTTCGGTTAACGGTTTAAGAAATAATTAAACCGGTTAACCGAACCGGTTTTGAAAAAAATAAAAACATAAAAAAAACCCTTATTTTTTCCCCCCCTTTCTTGGTATTAGTCGACGACGCAGTCTGCTACTGTGCGATTTTCTTGGGTTTGGTTCTCACGCAAATACTTCTTTTTCTTCACTATTTCTTTCTCTTCTTCTTCTTCTCCTTCACTTCTTTCTCTGTCTTTTTTCAGTTTTTCTACATTTTCGTTCTTCTCTCCTCTCTACCAACTTTTTTATCTTTCTTCGTTTTCTTTCTCCTTTCATGCTTCTCTTCTTTTTTCAATATCTTCACATTTTCGTCTTCTTCTCTTCCTCTCTCACCAATTTCTCTTTCTTTTCGTCTTCTTCTCTTCGTCTCCTTCTCCACTTTTCTTTTCTTTTTCGTCTTCTTCTCCTTTCACTTCTGTTTTTTTTTTCTTTTTTCGTCTTCTCCCATTTCTTCTCTTTCACAGCTTTTCTGTTTAGATTGGATAAGAAGCGAGAACAGAACACCATGATTGGACTTCAGCCTCCTTCTCCTTCATCGTTTGGTAAAGCAAATTTTAATTCTAAGTAAAAAAAAAATTGGAAAAAAAAATGGGCCAAATGGAGTGTGACGACCAAATTGGGCCGAAAAAAGCAGCCCATAATTCATAATTGGGCTAAATAATGAACCCAATATTAACCGGTTTAAAACCGGTAACCAAACCGAATTTTCGGTTCGGTTCATAACCGGTTTTTAACCGAATCGGACCGTTTCGGTTCAATATTTTTTTAAACCGAAAACGTTCGGTTCAAGTTTTTGGTTAACCGGTTCGGTTAACCGGTTTTTTCCACCCCCATATTAGGTAACATGTTACAAAATTTGATGTTAAAGGTCCTTATCAAAACAAAGAAAAATGCTAAGTCATTATTAGGGCGATGATATTACTGTAATAACACGATAGTAAATGCATTCGCGTAGAAAGCCATTTCAAACTATCAAATATCCATGTATTAGAAAGCCTTGGGCCAAAAGTGATGGGCTTTACCATGTGAACATTAATAATAAGAAAACAAAAAGGAAATGGGAAATTTTACCAATGATCATAAAATATATAGTTCTTTTATTTAACAAACAAAATTTTGCTTTTCTTGATACAAGAAAAGTTTAATTGAAATTTGGTTTTTTTGTTTTTTCTATCTTTAAAAGTCTTACTTGGTATTAAAAATCAAAATTAATGAACAATCATGATTGTATTGTAAGGGAATGATATTGATTGAGTCATTCTATTATAAAATTTTACTACTTCACTTGATTTTTGAGTTAAATAACAAAAAAAAAATAAAAAAGAAAGTTTAATAAAAGAAAATAAATTCATCTTCATTAGAAATGGGAAACTTTTCAAACCCATTATAGTTTGTCCTCGGTACATTAAGGTCTATTAAATTCAAAAACTCAATACAAGCTCTTCTTGTCATCACAGGCTTAGAAAAAGTTAAAGGTTGCTTCATCTTTACACATAACTTATTTGAAACAGGGCTGTTCAATTCATGGGTAGTTGGCAGCAAGCTCATCCATTTCTCTCTGCAAATCAAAAGAGCCAATAGTTAAATAACATAACATAAGCGAAAAAAAGGTTCAAGGGTATGGCTGATCACCTAAACAAACTTTATTGTTAATGAAAATAGAATGATATTAACGTAAATTTTAAACCCTTTTGCCTCTTCTTGCTCCGATTTTTGCAAATTCGACTCTAATTTTGATGAGTCTTGTTGCTACTCCTTTTATGCTCACCCTCTCTGCAGGTGATTCTCTTGTACACTCCATAGCCAAACTCAAGATAAATGACACACATTCCTCCTTGCTTGAGAAATGGTCATCATCCCATCTTCGCAAATTTGTGTCCAAGACTTGCTTCATTGTGCTACATAATGATTCACCAACCCAACTCCTTAAGCTCATTTCTTTAGTAAATATTTCATCTGTTTGCTTCTTTGTAACACCTGCTCTTTACTACTATTCTTATAATATATACTATGCAAATTATAGATATACATAGCGTATGGAAGATAGTGGGCTCAAACTTTTCTTTACTCATAAAATATAATTCTTTACATATACAAAATACTATGTATTAAAAACTTTCTACTTAATACAAAATATCATAACTGGTGGGCAGTAGTGCCAATACTCTCCGCTCTTCAACGTCTATCCGATTGCTGCCCCTAATTCCTGCAAAACAGGGAAGAACAGTGGGGTGAGCACAACAATGCTCAGTAAGTAAATCCTCTACTACCTGTCCCCACAACTCACTCTTTGGTTCTTTCCTTACTCTACCGTTCTTCTATTTCTAATTCTCATTGTTTTTCTCTTTCTTGCTAATATTTTTATTCTCCTTTAACTCTGTTCTGCTCTTTTTATTCTTTCTTTCTCTCTGTTCTTATTCTCTTTTCTTCTTCTTTTATTCTTACTCACCGTGAAGGAAAATCATGGTTCTCTCTTATGCTCATCATTCTCTCACTAACCATGGAAGAAATCATGGTGCATGCATGTATGAGATGTACATGCAATTAATGCAAAAGAACTGCATGTTTCTTTCTTCTACTCTCTATTCTTACTAGCTCAAACTCTCTCATTCTTTCTCAAGCTTTCTCATCCTTAATTCTCTCTATTATCTCTTTCTCATGTCCCATAATTCTTTTCTACTAACTCTCTCTTTAAATGTCACGGCCCCATCTTACCGGAGGCATGACTGGGACTTCTTCAGCTCTACGTGACTTCTACTGATTCTCTTCCCATCTCTCTTTCTCATAACTCTTTTTTGTTAACTGTTTACTGTAGGTCATGGCTGGGTACTCATCCCAGTTTTCATGACCCTACTCACTGTCTCTCTTTATTCTTTCTCATGTTTGCTCATTCTTCCTTACTTGCATGTCACGACCTCATCTTACCGGAGGCACGGCTGGATGGAGATCACAAAACACCAACCCACTCTTCGTGACTTCTACTCATTCTCTGCCGATCGGACTCGGTTATGCATGGATTCAGAACCCTTGGCCACGTGAGTGTATTCTCTCTCTCTCTCTGAATGTCACAACCCCATCTTACCGGAGGCACGGCTAGAACCTCATGTTCCACTCTTTGTGACGGTCACGGCCCCATCATACCGGAGGCACGGCTGGAACCTCATGTTCCACTCTTCGTGACGGTCACGACCCCATCTTACCGGAGGCACGGTTGGGGATCACAAAGCACCCACTCTCATGACTTTACTCATCACTCACGGGTTCCCCATCGCACAACCTACTCTATTCTCCTCTTTTGCTCTTAGAGTAGTTTATTCACAATGATTTCTACTCTTTCTCAAGCTACTACTCATCTCTTTTTCAAGTTAGTACTCATAGTATAGCTTAACTCTTAGAGTAGTCTATTCACAAAGTTCTCTACTTTTTCTTAAGCTACTTCTCAATGTACAATTAATGCACATGGATGGTTCATGCTCATTAATGCACTTAGGAAATTCTAATATGCAATGTTGCAAGAATTAAGGTTCACAACTCACGCTCATATTTCTCTTAGGCATTTCATCAAACAACTCATGTGCATACAAAAAATCTTCTCTAACTACAATTCTATTTCTCTTTGTAACCATCCAAAATGGAAAGAAACTCCCTTCTATGGACATGGTTCCTATCATAGGAGAACACTCCCAAAAATTTACTCAATCTCCTCCAACTTCATCTCAAACTCATCACACATCAACACGTCTCATAAAGGAAGCATATCCAACAAACACAACATGAATATTCATCTCAACTCCATTTCTCAACAAGTAGACATATATCTTTACTTAATTTCTCAACAAGCATCATATATACATGCATAAAGAAATCTCTACTCAAGGATTTCTTAAACTTTAGCCTGAGTTGGATTTACTTACCTCATACTTGAGTAGTCTTCACTAAAGCTCTCTACTCTTGTTGGACCTTAGCTTTCCCTTATTTCCTAAGCATAAACTTAGTAAGAACTTAACCTTTACATAAATAAAACTCATATCTAGAGTAAGGATTCTTACCTCTTCTTTCTTAGGATCAATTCTTTGTCAAATTCCAACTCAAAACTCTCAAAAATCCCTTGGAAGATTGAGTGAGGAATTGAGAGAAAATGAGGGATGAAGAGGCGGTGGAAGAAGGGAAAATGAAGGGGTTTAGAGAACTAAACTCTTATTAGCTCAAATAATATACACTCTTTCCCATTTTACCCTTATTCTTTCTTGAAAATTTTACCTTTATCCTTTACTTCTTTACAAATTCACCCCCATTCTATACTATTCTCCATGAAATTTCTTTACATTTTACTCTCCACTTTTCCTGCTAATTAGGGGTAAAATGGTCATTTTTTCCTTAGGAAAGAATTCTCTAGAAACTGAAACAAAAACTTAGCTGGCCCTTCGCCGTGACGAAGAATTATCTGTCACCCCGGCGAAGAACTCCAGAGCCGACGTCGCAAATCACAGAGCTGACGTCGCTGCGGCGAAGCTTCTTCCTCGCCCCGGTGAAGGCTACAACTCCAAAATCTGTCAAGTCTTGATCAATTCCAGGGTAAACACTTAACCAAATCCAAAACATAAACTCAACCAAGGGCCAACCAAACAACATGAATAATATACAAACTCATTTAGGAGCAATTCAATAACCCTTTAGGCTATACCATAAACAATGGCTACGTATCTCAAGTGGGGCGTTATATTCTTCCTTGTAAATGTTTCCATTAGCATGATACTATAGTTATACACATCTCCTTTTCTAGACACTTTTCTTTCTCTTCCATGTTCTGATAGTGATCACATGCACTTTCATTATTGGACATATAAATCATTAATTTTTTTTTTTTTGTTCTAGTAAGAAAAAAAAAAAACAGTAACAAAGAAGTTTTAATAAAAAAAATTAAATTACAAACAATTACCTGGCGCCATATAACCAATGGTGGCAAGGGTCCGTGTTTGTGTCATAGAGTTTTCTTCACCTAAGAGCTTTGTGATGCCAAAAACACTCAAATATGCAACCATATTTTCGTCTAGCAAGACGTTATTGGGCTTTAAGTCACAATGAATGATGTGATTTGAGTAACCAAAATGGAGATATTCCAAAGCTGATGCAACATCGATCATTATGGTCAACCTATGGGATATGTCCAAAATGTAGTTGTCAGAATACAAGCATTTTTCCAAGCTCCCATTGGGCATGTACTCTAGTATCAAAGATTTAAAATCATCATTTGAACAACTGCTGATGATTTTGACAAGATTTCGATGACAAATATGACTCATTACTTCACATTCAGCTTCAAAACTCGTAAATGCTCCTTCAAGATGCAAATGGAATACCTTTACTGCAAGCTCCATCCCATCATCTAATCTTCCTTTGTAAATTGAACCATAATTTCCTCTACCAAGCAGGTTATTCTTACTAAATCCATCTGTGGCTCTCACTAGTTCGTGTTGAGAAATTCTCCTCCATGTTTCTTGTGGCAACATATCAGCATTGGTAGATGGCTTTGTGGGCTTTTTTAGGCATTTGATCAACACAAATTTAAGAAGCAGGGCAACTAACGTGAACACAATGATTAGTGTCAAAACAATCGATAGGACAACCTTTTTAGTCCTTGATTTTCGATGAGTGCTTTTTCTGCACGGTGAAACTTGTAGTTGGTGAGAACCACACAAAGCAAGATTACCCCTAAATGATTAAACCGAGAAGTTTCCAAAAGACCCTCCAGTAGGAATTTCACCACTCAATCGGTTGAAAGATAAGTTTAGATATTTGAGGTACAAGAGTTTTTCTAAAGACTTAGGAATAACTCCAAAGAGATTGTTATTAGACGAATCCAAAAACACCAAGCTTATCGAGTCACCAAAAGAGTTAGGAATCTGGCCCTGTAATCTATTAGATCCTAAAGAGAGATTTTGTAGATTTTTTAGGTTTCCGATAATGATTGGAATATTGCCGAACAAAAAATTCTTTGACAAATCTATATCTACCACAACTTTTAGATTTTGAATTTCTAATGGGAGAGATCCATTTAGAAAATTTGATGAAAAATTAAAGTGCAAGATGTCCTTAAGTTGCCATAAAGTTGAGGTTATGATAGAAGTTAACCTATTGAAGGCTAACGATAGGGTTCTTAGGGTATTGAGATTACCCAAGCATGCAGGTATGGATCCATAAATCTTGTTATCATATAGTTGCGAGTCAACTAATTGATTCAAATGACAAAGATGATCCAGGATGGATCCTTCTAATTTATTATTTCCAAGGTTCAAACCTTGGAGTTTCTGTAGCCCACCAAGTGTAACTGGGATAGACCCAATCAATTCATTGTTTTGTAACTGTATATATATCAAGTTGTTTATGTTTTTGATTTCTTTGGGAATGTTGCCACTAATATTGCAATCATTCATGTAAACATTTTCCAAAGAAGTAGAGAGATTCCCTATGGAACTCAGAAGGATGCCATTGAGCGGATTTCCTTTTACCTCTAGATGTTTTAAATTCTTGCAATTTGTCAAAGAGGAAAGAAAGCTCAAATTTACTGAAGATGTCAAGAAATTATCCACTAGGTTAAGCCATTAAAGATTTCTTAAATTGCCAATTGTAATAGGAATGAAACCTGAGAATGAGTTGGTTGCAATATCTAGATCGGAGATCTTGGATAAGTTGGTGATAAAGTTGGGAAATGTCCCACTAAAATAATTTAAACCCAAGTAAAGTAACTCGAGATTTGGAAGTTCAATGTTTGATGGAAGAATCATTCTTTTGAGTTTATTTCCGGTAACTGCAAGTAGTGTCATCGTTGAGATATTGACGAGAGTTATCGGGACCATACCAACTAAGTTGTTAAATTCAAGGGCCAAAAGCTGTAGATTATGAAGATTACCAATTTCACTTGGTATCTCACCTGAAATTAGATATGAGAGAGCTCATCATTTGTCGGATTAGATTACAACAAAGAGAAGATTCACTAATAATAGGAGTTCTACACTTCATTCATTTAATCTTTTTTCTAGCATTACAGTTTCTTTATTATAATGTTTAAGCACATTAGTTGTTGGGATCAAATGTTTTCTGTTACGTTCGTATTAATAATATATTTATTATAGTGGTAAACTATATTTGACAATTAATTAAATATATATTGTAACTAGTATGTATATCTATTTATTTTACAATTAATTAAATTTTTTATAAAAGGATTGCATGTGTCATACCTTGGAGTTCATTGAATGAAAGATATAATTCCTCGAGCTGAGTCAAGTTTCCGATTTCTTTTGGTATGGCTCCTGCAAAAAAATCGAAGAATAAAATATATCATATAGTTCATTTCTCTTGCGGATCGATGGAGACATTGTATGAAGATGTCAATAAATGATTAGATGACACTCTTAAATACTAAAAAAAAAGAAATATAAAAATTAATCAACTTTTTTGTGAAATTAAAGTTGTACCGCAATTGAGTTGTTTAGAAAATTTGTAAAAATTAGTATAAACAAGATTGCTTTCGTCTATACACACACATATATATCTATATATACCTCGGAGTTTATTGTCTCCAAGATACATCCACTTAAGCTGGGTCAAATTTCCGATTTCTTTCGGAATGGCTCCTGTGAAATAATTGAAAACCAGGGACAAGTATTGTAATTTTTTGCATTTTGATAAAGTGGATGGTAATTTGCCCTGGAGCATAATATAATGCAAGTAAAGCAATTCCAAATTGGGAAGATTATCAAAAATGGTTTCAAGGAGTTCGCCAGATAATCTATTATAACTGAAACAAAAGTGTTTCAGTCGTTTTAAGTGAGCCAACTCCTTAGGGAGAGAGCCATAAAAGCTGTTGTTCTTGATGTCCACCGTTGCAAGGAAAGATAGATTTCCTAGTTGAGGAGTAAGGGTGCCTGTGAGACCCAAGTTAGAAATATTCAAAGCTGTGACTCTATGGTGACGGCCCGCACAAGTGATGCCAGTCCAACTACAAATAGAGGTAGTTGTGGACCAATTGTTGGCCAATATATTGCTAGGATCATGGCTTATACGAGCTTTTAGAGCAAGAAGAGCTTGTTGTCTGTGGAAATGTCGGTTACTTCCGCATTAACAAAGGAAAGTGTTGAAAAAGGAACTAAGAAAGCTAGGACAAAGCAAAGGGAAAGGTTTCTCTCTATGAGATTAGATTGTTGCGTGGTTTTAGTGTGGGCTTGGCGACATGTACAATTACACAAGACTGATGCTTATAAATAAACAACGAGATGATTAGTGCTTGATGGAGTTTTAGACGTTAGTGGTATGAAGATGGGACTATAATAATTTTTAATTCTATAGATGAATAAAAATTTTCTAACTTTCAGCCAAGACTATGATGTTTGCAACCATGTGATTTAAATATATTAATGTGGATACTGATGGAATGTCCACTCTCAAGGGCCAAGGTCTAAAGTAGAATTCCCTGGAGGTTTTTCACCGTTAATGTACATCTTGAATCAATAATTATGGCTGTGAAAAAAGTTGTTAGAAAGATCTTATTCGATGATGCTCATGACTACTGCAGCTTGAAAACTCTGTCTCCCCACTTTTGGATTAGTGGGAAGCACAGTAAAAACTTTTAACTTAAATTCAACTGCATATTGCAGTTGTTTTTCTTTGACAAAAGCATATGCATACACGAGGCAAATTGAAATGGTTCCTAGAAACTCCCTACTTCTATGTAACTTGTGGTTCAATCAATGGACTGTGAAAGAAAGATGCCCAGAATTTAGCTTTAGAAGTTATGGATTGTCTCATTTTTAGTTTCTATCTCATAAGAAAGAGAGAAAGGAGTTTTGAGAGTTGAGTCGACAGACACCTGATATTTTATTATTCATCCATAGAACAAATTAAGCCCACCAAGAAGATTTTTCTTTTACTAAATAAAGTAGAATTTTCTTGATTGTTAATTATCCACTTGTAGTCAATGACTTCACAGGGAAAAATAGTTTTTAATTCTCACTTTTGGTTTAGTGGGCAGCATAGTGAAGTAAATTCAATTAGGCGACCAGTAAATGAAGTGCTATATTTACCACTTCCAAGACGTTTGGCCCCACTTGCCAAAAAAAAAAAAAAAAAAAGGGAAAAAGTCAAGCATCTAAACCAAAATTCCACCAAGTAATGCACTCTGACAAGAATATATAATAATAAGGAAAAGGATCGAGTTATTGAAAAGTATACACCAAATTTGTGCATCGACTAACGTAATAAAATCTTGATAATTGATTAATATTAATTTGTAATAAATAAACAGTCAAGATTTTATCACGTCATTCGATATACAAATTTAATACATACCCGTCGATAACTGTAGTATTACTCTAATAATAACCTTGCTAAGCTGGTGGGTTTATAAAGTTCACCCTTCCAAGGCTTGCAAAATATATCAAGCCTCTGAACCTTCCAAGACGTTTTGCAGCATATCTAAACCAATTTTCAATAAGGATATATAATATGAATAATGCTACACATACATCATTTTCATACAACATTTCTTATACAACATTATGTGATAAGATGTGATTGGGTGAAAGTTTAATTTTAACTTTAAATTAGCCAATCATATCTTACCACATAATGTTGTATGTGAAATATTGCATGAAAATGATGTATGTGTAGTATTACTCATATAATATATAATAACCTTGCTAATTTGGTGGGTTTATAAAGTTCTCCCTTCCAAGACGTTTTGCAACATAAATCAAGCCTCTTAACATGTTTTGCAAAAGACGTCAAGCATCTTAACCAAAATTCAACAAAGATATATAATAACCTTGCTAAGCTGGTGGGTTTATAACAGATCAGACCAATGACATCAACATGACGTTATAAAAATTTAAAATTCTAATAAATTTGCAAAATAATTTCATCCAAATCCAAAATCCAAATAACAATATAATATAAATAAAATAAATTGAAAATCCAAATCTAAAGATGAAATTGTCAAAATCGAAAATCCAAATTCAGTCGGACCTGTGACATCAGCATGACCTTGTTCTTTGACCCGACGGTTGGACTCGCGATTTAGCACTATTCCGTCGGTTCAACCCCAGGTTAATCGTGTCCAATTGCTACAACCGGGTTTAGGATGTACCCGGATTGGATAAGGGTTCAATTCGTTCGACCAATCCGGTTTGGGTTTTAAAACAATGCTACTAAGTTGAGCATATTTAAGACTTATAAACTGACTCTTAACTCTTATTTACTTTCCGATAATGTGGTGTGACAAGGAGGATGCGAGATTCATAAAGTGAGGAGTTTAAATTATATCACCTTTAATTCTAACTGCTCTTTCACATGTAATTTTTTGGCTGGCTCACAGGTAGTATCACATGTAATACTTGGAACTGACTTAGTCAATGGATTGAAAATTACAAAAATTGTTTCATAATCTTTTTTCAAACAAACAAAGAAAATAAAATATGAAGAAAGAAATTAATGAATCTACTTTGAGAGAGAGTGAACCTTTTTGAATTTTAGAAGATGGTGCTGGTCACCCTATTTTTCAATATGTAATTAGATATGGTAACAATTTAAAAATCATTAATCTTTTTAAATAAAATAATAATACATGGTTAGAGATCAATTATTCCAAATGTATTTAACTCCTGGTCATTATGTTTGCATTTTGCTTAACTAACGAAATTACTTCTGAATATAAGAAAATGCAAAATAACAATGGCCAAAACAGGGAAAAACAGAGCTAAACAAGAGTAAGATATAAAGAACAAAGCTATTATCAATGAAGTGAAAAAGAAAATTAACTGAAATTTCATAGCTTTCTATCTCTTGCCGTTCCCATATTTGCAAGAAACTTGACAAAAGGGCAATCTTGATACGATAAAGAAAAGAAAAGGATTGGTGTCCTTGTTCCTGAAGGGCATTGTGCCCCAAGAGGGGAGCCTTGATGCTGCCATCTCTGAGTCTCTGCTTAATTTCTTTATAATTGGCATGACAAATATTAAAAAAGGAAGAAGGAATTGTGTATGACAGAGAGTTCTCATATGGTATGTTGAAGTGGTTTTAGACTCCCTAAATAATATAAGTGAAAATGGGACTTTGGAAGTAGATGGCTCATTTTCATATAGTTTGAGGATAAGTTGGAGAAATGAATCTAAAAGCTAGTTTCCAGCTAATTTCTAGTCTTATAATATTTTTCTTTGTATTGATAGAATATTAATAATAACAACAATGGGATACATAACACTAAACCATAAACTTATAAGTTATAACATTGAAAAATAGGCTTCTAATAATAGAGATCGTAACAAGGACCATCCCACATTCATAACATATTACAAATTTAATTTTAAAAGTTGGTATCACAACAATGAAAAATTCTAAGTTATCTACAAACCCCAAATATGTTGTCTTTATTACACTTTAACGTCGATAAAATTTAAGCATCAAACTCCAGCTTCATGGTATCCAACAAATGAAGGGAAACTAAAGCTTCTTGTACATTCTCTGGTTCTTCAGGATTAATGACTGTTGCAGCTAAAAGAGCAGTAGAGTGAGCTTGTTATGCAGTCTTCTTGGTAAGAGATCTTGTTTGCATTGAATGAAATCTAGTAGCCTAGAAAGGACCGATATTAAGCTCAATATGAAATGGAACTTCAAGAATAGTAACAATGCTATCAACTGATACAGGTGTGTCTGACCGGAGGAAATTAAACTTGAAGGATCTGTACAAGAATCACTAGAACCAATAAGAGGCAGTCATTGGGTGTTGAAAACTATGCTCTGAAACAGAAGAAGAGACTACAGAAGAATGCTGACTTGAAGCATGGCTACTAACTGGAGAGTTATGTTTATGAAATATACTATAGCCAAGGAACATACACTTGGAAGTATGGAAACCAAATTTGTGATTACTATAAGGCGTAAGACAGGGATAACATTCACACAAACACTTTCAGAGCTATATATGAAGGTTTCTGCTGAAAAAGTACTTCATGAGGAGAAAAATGGTTTAGGGTAGATGTTAGAAATTTGTTAATAAGAATTACAGACGTTTGAAAAGCATGCCACTAGTAGGATAACGACATAGAAGCCCAAGCCAAAAGTGTTAATCCCATTTCGATAAGATGTTTGTGTTTCCTGTTAGCTTTTCCATTTCGTTGAGGGGTATAAGGGCAGAAAAATCTATGCAGAATACCATGTTGCTTAAAGTGAAGAATCAGGGCTTGAAATTCTCCTCCATTATCATATTGAAACTACTTAAGGGGAACTTGAAACTGTTTCTCAACCATAATATTAAATTAAGAAAAAGCA